TTTTCTTTTTTTGGAAGTCCACACAAATGTCACAATTGTATTCAAAATTCCAACCATTAAGTTAACACGACCGGCAAAAGGGGAAACCGTCTGCTTCCCAAGACTTGCCTTGACTATGGATTTTTCAAGCATTAAGCATTTAATAAGGCCTCGGCATGCAGGATTTCATTTCCTTCAGACCAGACGCTACCTCACGGCTTCCACACCGCCCTCCCCTTGGCTCGGAGCGGCTGCCTGCCGTGGGTAACCTGCCCAGGGTGGTGGCCACCCCCCCCCCCCCGGAACCTGGCATGTTTTTAGAGAAGAGATATAGCCGTTAAACAACTAAAAAGGGGCATGGATAGCCGCTTCTCTCTAAAACCACCAAATTGCATGTTTATGCAATTACAGACAGTAGCCGGGGACCTGCTCCGAGCCCCCCCCCCCGCCCCCCCCGCCCCACTAGAGGGATCCCAGATGTTGAGGAATGCTGTTGGAGGGAATTTTGAAGCTTTGGGACTTGGCACTCCTAGAATATCAAATATTTTCTTTTCCTTTTCTGCTTTCATTTTTTGGACCCCGAACAAAAAATGCTAGGTTTTTTCTTCTTTTTTTTCTTCTAGGAACCAATACAGAAGTTGGAGATGAACCCATAACCCTTTTGTGTTTTTTGAAGAAGTGTTGGGTGGAGGAGGGTGAGCATTTCCAAAGACAACTCATCGGGAAAGGTGGTAACTCAGCATTTTTGCAGTCTACCGTGAGAGCTTGAAAAGGCAAGGGTTTAAATGATACTGCTGGGAATTACAGGCTTTGCTCTAACTGCACACTGGGGCACCTCTGTGCGGGAGGTAGTCTCTTATTTCTTCTTCTGCTTGTATCTTTCCTCTGTTTGGATGGGCCATAACTGGGCTCTGTGCTGCCTGCATTATATCCAGGACCGATACTGTCAAGTGCACAATCCGCAGAGCAGAATCATGGTTATTACGCCCTTCCTCCTCCGGCTTCCCACTGTTTGGAGGGCAAGTGGGGGGTAGGAAGAATTCGAAAGCCACGGAGTGTGTGGGCCCACGTGGGTGGGGAACAGTGAAGAAAATGTAGGGATGATGCACCTCGTGTGGGCACCTTTGTGTGTGGTTTTGGCCTTCACCACAGTATCAGGGTTGGAGTCCACTTGGGTGAGGCCTGATTTTGGTTCTTAAAATAAGCAGCAAAGTGGAAAGTTCAGGATATAAAGAGAGTTGGCAGAGACTTTGTGATTATCCAAAGGGTTTCCTACTTCTCTTTGACTGGTTAGCTCTCTGCTTACAAGACTCTTTCCTCTGTTCCTGTCATTTTCCTTTTATTTTTCATCACCTAAGATGTGGACTGACCACCTTCTTTTGAGGGAAGAGAGGGTTTTTGCAATAAATTCCTATCCGCCTCAAAGTTAGGGTGGGTGAGAATCGGGGCCTTTTGTCCCCTTTTGTTTGCCTTCCTTTTGGGGTGGAGATTGTGGAAGATGGCAGTAATCCGCAGTGCTATTGAATTTTTTAATGTGGCTTCCCTCTGATGGGTCTCTCTCTTTTCTTCAGCAGTAACATTAAACAATAACAAAACCTCAGTCTGAACAGAGAAACGCTCCCTGGGAATTTGCAAGCATTCCCCTGTTCTGTTTATTCCAACAGTGTGAAACTTACCTAAGAAAAGTACATGCAGATCTCCCTGTCCCTTTACTTCAGTGAAAGAGGTAACAGTTGCAATTTACTAGTGCCATTTGTTTCTCAAAAGAGGGGAAAAATCACTAGTTTTACAGCAAGTACCCCATATTTCATGGAATATAATGTCAGTGACTATGGGAACCACTATTATTTTATAGATTGCTAAGAAAGTAAAAAAAAATGCTATCAATTAGATTTACATACCATTTTTCTCTCACTTAGAGTTTTTATTTTCTTCTTAGTGAAATCTGTTTTAGAGTTATTTAGACATAGCTTATTATGATATAGTACTCATGTGCATTTGTAAAAAGGAGAACAGAAGCAAATTAAATTGGTTAAGGTATTCCCAAAACTTCTTTACATTCAGATGCTCTTTCTTCTGAAAACTTTTCTACCCAAAGCAGCAGATACTGTGATTTTCCACAAACTGTTGTACTCTGGGGTATCAGAAATGTTGGTAATGTTGCATTTCTTCAAAACCATCCTCCATCATCTCCATGAATTCTTTCCAAACCCCTAATACCCACCCTACTATTTTGGATGCACCAGCATATACCATGACTGCTTTTTCCTGACTGCCTCCTGGCCCACAGAAATTAGGAGGTGGCTACCCATTTCAAAGACGTAAAACATGGGGGAAAAAAATCTGTGTCTTAGAACTAGCACCTTGCCTAGTACATTAAGATATGTCAAAGGTCTCTCAAGTACTATGATACATTGGGATGGACATATAATGATCTTTTACATTTGTTTGCCATGATAGTACAAAGATGGTTAATATTGTGTCCTGGCCTTTATGAACCTTGCAACAAAATTGAGAGATAGACTTAAATGCAGTAGTTACAATATGGTATGATCAGTGAAACAATAGAGATATGTATTTGTACTTGTTACAAAGAAAGTAACAAAGATCTTTGGGAGAGCTGAATAGAAAGGAGGTGTACACCTGCTCTTGGGAGGGGTCAAGAACTTTCCTGGTAGAGGAAATAGCTTGCATTCTTTATTTTTTAATTTAAATTCAATTTAGTTAACATATTGTGTATTATTAGTTTCAGGGGTAGAACTTAGTGATTTGTCAGTTGCGTATAACACCCAATGCTCATTACATCACGTGCCCTCCTTAATCTCCATCACCCAGTTACCCCACCCCCCCCCACCTCCCCTCCAGCGACCCTCAGTTTGTTTGCTAAAGAGTCTCTTATGGTTTGCCTCCCTCCCTGTTTTTATCTTACTTTAATTTTTCTTCCCTTCCCCTATGTTCATCAGTTTTTTTTTTCCTTAGGTTCCATATATAAGTGAAATCATATGGTAGTTGTCTTTCTCTGACTTATTTTGCTTAGCATAATAAACCTTTAGTTCCATCCACATTGTTGCAAATGGCACGACTTCATTCTTTTTGATGGCTGAGTAATATTCCATTGTATATGTGAACCACATCTTCTTTATCCATTCACCTGTCAGTGGACATCTGGGCTCTTTCCACAGTTTGGTTATTGCGCACATTGCTGCTATAAAACATAGGGGTGCACGTGCCCCTTTGAATCACTATGTATCCTTTGGATAAATACCCAGTAGTGCCACTGCTGGGTCCTGGGGTAGCTCTATTTTTAACTTTTTTGAGGAACCTTCAATTTTTTTTTTTTTTAGAGTGAGCCTCACACATGTCTTAGCCACACTGCACTCAGGCAGAGGGCACAGCCTAAATAAAACCACTGCTGACCCTCTCTGACCACTGCTGTTGGGTTGTTTACGATGTGAGAGCCCATCACCTTTGCGGACTCTGCAGTTTTGTGGAAACAAGAGGCATGCTAGAACCTCAATAGCATGAATAGCAATAGAAATCAGGGAGAAAGCTGGAAACATGTGGGCCAGAGCCAACAGGGCCATGTGCAGGTGGCCCCAAAAGAAACTAACCCACAGTGCACGTGACACTAAACCAGGGCTGTGGTGAACTTGGGGCTGACACTGAAGGAATGATGGTAATATTTCCTGGCAGACACGCTGCTCTGCCTAGTCAGCGGCAACAGTGTCTTTTCAGCGAGGCCCCATCAGCCACTGCAAGGGAAACACAGGTTCTTCCTTCCAGCCACGAGAGGAGTCACACCACGGTGACAAGAGGTTCCCACGTGAGAAAACTAGAACGTACTTAAAGGATCGGGTAGAAGCCAGTCCTGGGGAAATCCTAGGAGGACTTCAGCGATCCCACTGAAGTCAATAGCTTGCCCCAGGCACACTATCTTCCTGCTGCATGACTAATTCTAGACCTTTCTACTGCATCCCACCCCTTAGCGGGTGAGAGACTTCTAAGAGACTCCCAGGCCTACTCAGGATTGGCCCAGAGAATTCCTTGGGTAAACCTACAGGGAGTATGTCTTTATTACCATTACCAGCTAGTGGGGAGACACATTTTGCAGAAGGGACTTGAGATTCCAGGGTGATAAATAGCTGCTGACATTTATCCGGTTAGATGGTGGTGGCAATGGTGGAGTCCTTAAGAATCCGGTTGGTAATCATGAGAGACGATGGACTCTGAGAAACAAACGGAGGGTTCTAGAGGGGAGGGGGGTGGGAGGATGGGTTAGCCTGGTGGTGGGTATTGAGGAGGGCACATTCTGCATGGAGCACTGGGTGTTGTGCACAAACAATGAATCATGGAACACTTCATCTAAAACTAATGATGTAATGTATGGGGATTAACATAAGAATAAAAAAATTTTAAAAAAAAGATTATATAGGCAGTAAATAAATAAATAAATAAATAAATAAATAAATAAATAAATGTTCATGGTAAAGGCAAAAAAAAAAAAGAATCCGGTTGGTACCTAATAGGAAAGGAAATTCCTTCTTCCATAGACTTCACCTCAAAAGAAAACAGAATTTCTGCCCCAGCTTCTTTTCCTTAGTCAGAGGCTTACAGAAGGAACTATCAGTTGCTACAACTCAACTTCCTTCCCAGAAAGTTTCCCTTTCTCTCTCTCTCTCTCTTTTTTTGGTCTGAGTCTGACTTTCATTGGGTCATAGTTCACTAGTGGGTGGGGTCGTTGCATTGAGAATGGCTGAACACCCATGAATGACTAATGCTTTCCTCTGCTTCTGATGGCCGACTTCGCAGGGCAGGCCCCTTGCTCACGACTCTTTTTCCTGCTTCTTCCCTGGGGCTCTCTGTTCTCAAACAGTAGGGCGATCTGGGCAGTGCTCCTGACACACCTCAGAGAGGCAGGCGGGACCAGGGCTTCTCCCATGTAGAAGGAAGCCAAGGCCCCTCTCCTTTACTGCTTTTCATCTCAAAGAGCCCTGATTAGCAAGAATTTTCTAAGGTGTCTGGCCATTTTTCTTTCTGTTTAGTACATTTCGCATCCAACCTGGAGGATCGAAGAGGTGAGAAATTGAATTTGAGCCCTAACACACAAACTCAACCTTGAAACCCTAACACCAGCATCACCCATGATCAGTGGTAGGTACTCAATAAATGTTTGATTTTATAAGGAAATTATAAAATGTGTCTCATCACTGCATTTCTTCATCTACAGAGCCCATTAATGTTCACATTTTCTCCTCAGTTAAACTAAGGACCTCTTCTACCTTGTCCTAGCAACTAAGACTTGCCACTTGGCATATGCTAATTCAGTTTCCTTGTGCAGTGGCCATGTTTCTAGACCAAGCCACAGACTACTAGGAGTTATTTTCATTTGCTAGAATCCAGGATAAATAGTGCATCTTTTGCCTTCTGACAGCAGTTGTTTGTTTAGAAGAACGTTTTCTAGGCTAATGTGGCATGAACATAAAGTTACAATCAGAAAGTTTTGCACACTAAGGAGGAGCAGACCGTGCAGAATTGGACGGAAGCAATGAGTCACCTGGTTTGGAAAACAATTCCTAAAACATACTCGTAATATACCAACAAAAGGGACATTCAGCTAAAGCATACCAATTCCATCAGATCAGAATTTTGGCACAATGTAACATTATCTTCTATGATTAGTGTGCTTCCTACATGAAAGAAGTATCCTTTATATTCAAAATTATATAAAAAATGAGATTATTTTTAAAAGGAAAAAGAAACAGAAATATTTATTTTTTCATGACAGTGTCTTCCCAAGAGTGCCAAAAGGTTCCTTTTATTTAAAAAAAAAAAACAAAAAAAACAAAAAAAACAAAACCCTCAAAGTTTGGGAGTCAGAAAGAAAGATTCCATTGGCTTGCATCATCTACACATTACAAAGCTGTTGGACCAAATTGATGTTTCTAAAAAACTGCGAGTAGTTGAAATCTACCAAGCAATCACTTTTCTTTTTTTTTTTTTTTAAAGATTTTATTTATTTATTTGAGAGAGAGAGAATGAGAGAGAGCACATGAGAGGGGGGCAGGTCAGAGGGAGAAGCAAACTCCCTGCCAAGCAGGGAGCCCGATGCGGGACTCGATCCAGGGACTCCAGGATCATGACCTGAGCCAAAGGCAGTCGCTTAACCAACTGAGCCACCCAGGTGCCCGCAATCACTTTTCTTATTTGTCTGGGTGATCATAAATAACTGATGATTTCACTCAACTTTGGACTTCTGACTTGTCATCTGATGTTGTATAAATACAAAATTAATTAAGAGGAAAAAGGTCGGGCCTGTGAAATCACCTCTGAATATATAACTGGCTAATCTACTGTGCAGTTTTGGATAAGTCAATTAAATTTGCTAGGCCTTTGTTTCCTCATCTGTAAAATGGAGGGGGTAAACTAGAAGGCCCTATGGAAGGTCCATCTTTGGTTTATTCATCTTTCTTTACCTTTCTTTTTTTTTAATTTATTTTTTTTATTTTTAAAGATTTTATTTATTTATTTGAGAGAGAGAGAATGAGAGACAGAGAGCACGAGAGGGAAGAGGGCAGAGGGAGAAGCAGACCCCCTGCTGAGCAGGGAGCCCGATGTGGGACTCGATCCCAGGACTCCAGGATCATGACCTGAGCCGAAGGCAGTCGCTTAACCAACTGAGCCACCCAGGCACCCTCTTTACCTTTCTTTTCCACTTACCTTACTTGAAAAAAGATGTCTATATAATATTGCCAACCAGTTGCGACTAGTTTATGTTTTCATTTATTCAGATGTTGATTTCCATCCCTCTTATTTTATTGGCTCTTGTTTATAGTAACAACAAAATGTAGATGAAATGCTTCATGGGTATGAAATAACTTCAGCCGGAGCCTTACTGCCATCTAATATATGGTGTGACTTTTTTTTTTTTTTAAGATTTTATTTATTTATTCATGAGAGACAGAGAGAAACAGAGGGAGAAGCAGGCTCCCAAGGAGTGGGAAGCCCGATGCGGGACTCGATCCCAGGACCCTGGGATCATGACCTGAGCCGAAGGCAGACGCTTAACCATCTGAGCCACCCAGGCGCCCATATGGTGTGACTTTTAGCAAGGAACCTGTACTTAAGTATGACATAAGGGCTGGTAAAATCTCATTTGCACTACACTATGGCGAGGGAAGAAAAGGAGCTGTGCACCATGGAAAATCCTGGTATTTTTATCAGGTGATGTTGTGCCAACAAGAAAACAATACAAAACTGAGTTCTCACACTGTTTGCCTGGGTATGCCGATCTGAACGTCCATTCTTTGAAATGCCGTTTCCATGTCTGTAATTACTGATGAAATGCCTCCTAAACATGTGATTCTAGTTTGTACATTGTGGTAGCCATCTTCTAAGGGGTCCCCCAATTGAGGGGTCCCCCAGTTCCCACCTGCCCCATTAAGCAGGGTGGACCAGTTGTACCCAACAGGATACTATAGAAATGATGGTGTGTGACTTCTGAGGGTAGATGGTAGAAGACTTGTGGCTTCCACCTTACCCTCTCTGCAATTATTCACTAGGGAGGAAGTCAGCCACCATGTCAGCAAACACTTCAGTAGCTTTGTGAAAAATATACATGGTGTGGAATTGAATCCTGCCAACAGCTGGCCCCAACTGGCCAGTGATCAGATGAGCCATCTTGGAAGCATTCCCTTCAATGCCAGTCAGTCTTTCAGATGCCTGTGATCCCAATCATCGTATTTACAGCAGCCTCGAGAGACCCTGATCCAGAACCAGCCAGCATCCAGCTGAACCACTCTGGAATTCCTGAGCCACAGAAACTCTGTGAAGTAAATGTTTATAGCTGTCTTCAGGTGCCATCTTGGGGAGGGGAGATAACTTGTCATGCAGCCATAGATAACCAATATACAAGTCAAAAGAAAAATGTGATGGTATTAATTTTGTGGTCACTTACTCAGGTGTAGGAAAGAAAAGAATGTTCCGTTTTTCTCCATAACCCAACTTAATCTCTATCTTAAATTTCATTATGTCTGATTATGGGGAAAAAAATAACATTAATCCATTCTGGAATAATTCAGTAACTTCAGATTTTAACGCCATTAATTCAGGATTTTTCCTCACTCTCCCATCTGCCTAAGAGTGGCGCCTGTGCCTGGTGGATAATGGCTTACCTAGCGGCATAGAATCAGGAGTGTGTAGGGATATCTTCTCCCTGGTCTTTGTACTATGTCCTCAGGGGCATTCACTAAAATACTAATGAAAAACAGAGGTGACTAAAGGTGTATTACCAATACGAAATATAAAAGTGGACTTTCCAGTATTCTTTCTAGGTCATATACTCTTCACTGTTTTATTAGTTCTAATAATTCATTAAAATCCAGGGGAATTTTACAGGGCACAGAACAAACCAATGAAGTCTCACTTAAAATTCTGTGGCTTCTTGTGGAGTTAGAAGGCCAATGTTAATTTAAATGTGCAGACTTTTTTGAAAGTCCTTTCCTTTGTTGAGTGTCATGGGCTCTCCATGAAGTCTTATTAATACTCCAAAGCTATTCTGGAAGGGCAGAAAGTAAAAGAACCTACTTCAACACGAGCTGGTTCTTTAAAGTAAATGATCTTTCAGGGAGCTTTCTGTTGGATGCCTCAAGCTGCCTTCAGTATTTTAAAACAATGTGGGGTTTTTTGTTTGTTTGTTTTGTTTTGTTTTTTACTAGTAACTCCCTGGAATAATCTTCATTGTTCTCCCCTTCAGTCAGAGAGGAGTGAGCGTGTTGGATAAATGACTGATAACACATATCAGTGACAGAAATGTGGGTTATTAGCACCCACTGGAGCACCCACCAGGCCTGGAGTTGCCATATAGTGACTCACATCCTTGAATAGATACAGTGCGAGACTCTTAAAAATAAATTACCTATGACAGTCGATCAGGACAAATTCTGCCATGTGGCATGTCTCTTCACATGGTATACCTCAGAAATAAACAAAATCGACCCTTACATTACAGCTCATTTGAAGGCTTTCTCTTTATCTCTTTATCTCTTAGCCTTTGTTTTGGTACTAGAATTTAAATGATTTTCATCATGTTCCATGTTCACTGATATCTCTGGGATTAGGTCATTTCATCAGAGTAACAGCCCCAGACATGTTCCTGCCATGCAGCTCCCCTTCTATTTTTATCGTGGAGCAAGCAGTTCACTTGTTAGCCTCCCTAATTCTCATATGAGCTGAAGGATAAAAATAATACATCGAGGGGACATTAATGTGAGAAATTCTCTCCTTTCGTAAGAGATAACATTTCATGGTCCATTTGCTCTTTTGATTTTTCTTGCCACTTCCTAATTTCAGGGTCACTGTTACTTGTAAAAAAATCTGAGTCCTCAGACTGTATTTACCATGCAGGCTGCAAATGTATTTATTTTTCTGCCTTACATATTTTCTTTGCTTTTTACTTATTTATCTATTTTGGAGTTGCTTTATCATCTTATAGTATTGAGTTTGGATTCATTGCATATATTTTGGTATATGAAAGCAAGTTATAAAGGAATGTCATGGGCGCCTGGGTGGCTCAGTTGGTTAAGTGACTGCCTTCGGCTCAGGTCATGGTCCCGGAGTCCTGGGATCGAGTCCCACATCGAGCTCCTGGCTCGGCGGGGAGCCTGCTTCTCCCTCTGACCCTCTCCCCTCTCATGCTGTTTCTCTCTCTCTCTCTTTCTCAAATAAATAAATAAAATCTTAAAAAAAAATAATTAATAAATAAATAAATAAATAAAGGAATGCCATAACACAGTACAAAATGTGATGACAGAGAGAACAATTATGTCAAGGCCTGAAGTGATGATCAAATCAAAGAAAAAAATGAAGAAAGACTGGTGTAATAGTAAGTGTTATAACTAAGACCTTAACATGAGATGATTCTTTTTGTAGTTCATGTCTAAAATCAATTTTAAAAAACAAATATAAATTCTGATGTTTAAGGCAAGGTGTGGAAGGCAAGGACTCTAAGGAGGACAGTGAATGTAATTACTGTAGTAACAAATGACATACTGAATTAAGTATGAGTACTGAATCAAGTATCTTGTCCCTTTGAATTTCCACCACAGCATTAGGGACTCTTGGTGAAATATATTCTTGGAGAGACAGGCTATTCT